TGTATTTCGCAACTTGGCCCATTCATACTTAGAAAATGTCGAAGTTCTTCAAAGGAGCTGTAAGCTCCGAGTCGTCTTCTGAATCTGAAATTTCAGATGTTGAAGAGGAGGTACAGACGAAGAAAGTCCCACTGTGAGTTTCCTTTTTTTTGAAACGTCACTTAGCTTTTCAGTTTATTTACATCATTGTTAAACTCTGTTGCTTGCTGTTACTCCAATGGGGCAACTTTAATCTCCTTTTCTCTATACTATATATTTTATTCAAGGAAAAATCTTTTCTTCGGATCAGTCATAGGTTAGTTCTCTCATATACGCAGGTTCCGCTTTTGTCTTAGTCTTTTTTCATAATTTTTCGCCATCTTTACTGGTTGTCATATCACTCTCATCTGTTCCTCTATTTTCTTCCCCATTCATCATTACTTAGTGTTATGGAACATAGATATGGAATGATATTAATGATAATACATCCTTTGAATTAAGTGCCCGTGATTTCGCATATCCGAGTGACAGCGAAGATGAAGAGAAACGTGTCGTGCGAACTCACAAAGAGAAGAAATTCAAAGAGTTAAAAGATCTCATCAAGCAGGTCAATAATGCAAAAAACAACAAGGATTTCACGAAAATTTTGTCGGGTGAGTAGAGGTATATATTTCAATTATACCTGTGTATTTGCTTAATGTATATATTTTGCAGCTTTTGACGATCTTGTGAAGATTTTTGAAAAGTCAAAGACTGTATTTGCTCGACAGAATATCTCCACTCCTCGATTTTATGTTAGGTTGGTTGTTTAATCTTGATTCAAACGAAGATGTGTTGTTCTTTGCTCGAGAAAATTTTTTTTTGTACAAGAACTAAAATCGTTTCCAGGTACCTTGTCGACTTGGAGGATTTCGTACTTGGCTTTTGGGACAACAAGGAAGCGAAAAGTGTGAGTTTGACTTGCCCGTGATTACACTCTACGTAATCATCGCACTGCTTGATCTTCTTCAAAATTATTTCATACAGAACAAGTTTGGGTCTTGATCTGTCTCCTTATTTCAGGCCCTTTCGAAAGTAAACTTGAAAGCCCTCACCAACCTGCGTCAAAGAGTTCGCAAATATGTGAAGGAGTTTGAGCAGAAAATTGCTGAATATAGAGAAAGCCCAGACCCACCTGGCTATGAGACACCCGAAGAAGAAGAAGAGGCCAGTTTTTTGAGCTATCCATCGAAAATGTTAGTTGAAAGAAGCCTTTTCTATTTCAGGCAGAAGAATCGGGCGAAGAAGGTGGCGAAATAGCAATACCTGCCGGCAAGGAAAAGAAGAAGGATCTCTCCAGCAGCGAAAGTGAGGTTAGTAAATCAGTTTGTTGGTGTCCAGATCGTTCGTATTCTATCGTCTGAGTCTGTTTCTTTCAATAAAATGGGATTCAGAGTGATTCGGATTGGTCGACGGATACTGACTCAAGCGCTTCCGATGACGACGCCGATTTTGGTTCGAAAATGGAGGCACTTAGAAGACATTTCTTGAAGTTTGTGCTTGTACGCGTTGTTGTAAAACGTTTTAATTTGTTGCATGTATAGGAAAGAATTTCGTGGAGAAGATGACGCAACTGCTGAGAAAAAGAAAGAGAAGAAACGGAAGCAAAGGGAGCAGCATAAGCCAAAGGTATTTCCTATATTTTCAAGATGTTGTTAATGTTCTCTGTTGTTT